CATCTTTGTCACTCTTATCAAATGTTTCATCATGGTTCACATCACCTTTGTCACGCTTGTCAACAGTTTCATCAGCTTTGTCACTCTTGTCAACAGTTTCATCACCTTTGTCACTCTTGTCAACAGTTTCGTCATGTTTCACAACATCATTTTCACCTTTATCAATATCTTTGTCACTCTTCTTGTCATCTTTGTCACTCTCATCAACACTTTTGTCACGTTTAACATCTTTGTCACCAGGTTCACACTTGACTAAGCTATTACTAGATTCAGGTTCATCACCACACCCTTCTCCCAGTACAGGTTGGATGGGCTTCTCACTATTTTCATCTGCTGATGCAGGTCTGACACATGTTTCACCAGGTTCCATATCTGATACAGCTTTTACAGGTTGCTTACCTGGTCCATCTTCCACTGCAGCTTGGATGGATATTTTACCTGAATCATCTGATGCTACTTCACCGTGTGTTTCGTTCGCAGCGTCCTGCTCGGACTGATTATGTACGACCAGTTGCTGGTTGCCCTCAACAGAACACGGTGATTGAGTTTTACCGGCAGAATTGTACGAACAAACAGCTGCCTGCTTGTCACAGGGATCCTTTGCTGCCACTATACGCATCTCGTTTGCATCACTGTCGTCTGTCGCAGTCACTGCATCTCCCTGCACAAGGCACACGGCTGATGCTTCTTTTACAGACGTGCCTCCTACCTCAGACACGATATCAGTTCTCTCGCTGGTCGCTGTTGTCACTGCCTCTCGCTTCTCAGTCTCATTATCCACCACAGAGACAGGCTCGTCACTAGCAGATAGTCTGGCACTGAGCTCATCGCCAAAAGAGGTCACGGCTGGTGCCAACTCACTAGCGACTTCAGTCCCTCCTGACTCTGCACACAGCGGTTCACTCTTCACAACAACACCCTCATGTAGTTCGGTAGTGCTTGATAATGACGACACATTCTGTGCGTCGCCTTCGTGTGGACTTTTTACGTGTGTCGGTGCTACTGATTTATCACACGGAAGATATTTTTCATCTTGCTGCGGTGAGCCTCCACTGTCTACTTCCGATTTTACCTTCCCTATGATACCACTCTTATCACTGAGGGTCTTGTCTGGTTCCTTCTTCACTTCCTCGATACTTCTGCTGTCGATGCCATTCTCATGGACTCCCTGCTTCAAGTCCACATGCTGCTCAGATTTGATCGAGTCTGTAACAGGGAAAGGTTGAACTCAAAATTACATGCTGACCTGATTTAATAGTGTAGAGGTTTATGAAGGAATTTTATTATTATTATCTTTCAATTAAAGCAAAAGATAAAATATGTAGACAATTTAGAACTCATCTATTTAGTATATATATTACTGATAATGCCAGCATACAAAATATGCTGTTAAAGGCAAAAACATCAACTGAACAGAAAACTTTCTGTGCATTCTTGAGTTTTTGTGAAAATGGAATTTGAAAATAGTTCCCAATTATAAATGCATGTTTCTGTATGATATAAAAACTATTCATTGCTTTCCCATCATACCAGAGTTTCATATTCATTTTATACATATTCAACATATCATTTCATTTCATAAATATTCAATATTTTCATTTATATTTGACGTGACACTGAGCATGCGCATGTGACAAGTAATGATCAGCATTGCCAAGAAATGTGAATGTCAAGTCATGAAAGCTTCCCCTTCCCCTTATATTTTCTTCCACACATAACACCCTCCTTACAATTCATACATAGGTGCAACCACTCATCCAACTAGCAGCAGTACAGCAAAGCCTGTATAGAACAAACATCACTAGGAAGAGAACCTTCATGGTTTACAACCCACCTGTGTGTATGTAATCATTGATAATTGACCTACCAAGATCCTGAACTCTCTGAGGCTCCCCTATCTCACTTGGAGTATTCGACCTTGTCTCGTCCTTTAACGTGGGATTTTGTAAGTTGAATTCCAGCTTAGATATCAAGTTAGCCAGTTCCTCGCGTTCCCTAAAACCATACACATGTATTTTGTAATGGAATACATGCCTATACAGCAGTCTACATAAAATCAATCTTTACAATAAACTAATATGTGCTTTGCTATTAAACAGTTAATCAAAAGTTACACTTTAGAATATGCATCGGGAGGGCTGAAGAGTTGTGTGATATTCAGTACATGAATGATTCATAATGTACATGTACCTAGATAACCCAGCCCTAAATCTTCATGTCATGGACGATTAACATACAACACATAGCCGATAGCTTTGCCACTTTAATGCATTACAAACATGGCCGTATGGTGAACTGGCTACGTTACACCTGCAACAACAAATCGTGCTTTACTGACCGGGCGACGATCGTCCAGCTCTGACCCTCCTCCGTGTCATCCTGCTCCTCACGATAGACACGCACGTTGCAGTCGGGGTCCTGCTGATACCAGTACGTGAGACCGTTGAGGTCGCGACCCACCGATAGGGTGCGCATCTGACTAGCCACCATCTTGTTAACCTCCTGCTTGAACTTTGCATTCTCGTCAAACTGCAGCTCCAACAGATGCTGCAAAACAATACGATCGTTGTTGACTTCGAACATTATATTGTACCATACGAATATTACCATATGTACCATACTGGTCATACAAATATTACATATGTCATATACCATATGTTATGTCATACCATTCGAACATTATATCACCCTCGAATGACTGTACTTGTGTGCACATCAATGTTTGAATACAATTTAGCCATTACTAAACGTTGTGAATGCATCCATTAACTACACTGCAGTATATCTGTAATTGGCATACGTAGCATCTAGGATCAATGTCCTATAAAGGTGACCCAGATTCTTGCTCTTTCACTCCAAACGATGTGTTAACGAAAGCTTCATACAATGGTTTACATATACTATAGGATGCTTGTACCGTCGAATCACCTATTTACCGTCTAGAAATAGTTTCGAGAATTCACAGAAATAACATTTTTTTGTTTGGTAACATAACAGTGATAGATCATCCTATCATTATCATCAGAATATATGCTAGCTTGTTGCTTATTGTTGATTGAAGAGATGATTGCAATTTCTTATTATGGAATACAACTAGAGAAAAACAAAATGATTGTCATTCTGTTCATCCCACTGTGGAAATTACAGTAGGCATTCTGTGAGTATCAGCAGGAACTATTATCCTGATTGGATTTAATGTTAATTGTGGACATGTATGTTTCAAACCAACCACCTACAAAATAATTTTTTTAAATCTCAATATTAAAAATTCAGATAGGGTTAACTCAAGCCTTCTAATTTCCCAATCTTCTATTTAAGAGCTGATGAAAAAAGTGGTTATAACTATAGAGGATTTTAAGTTTAATCAAACATGCATCTTATGAAGCGTTCTAAAATAACTTGGGGATTTTTCCAATTATGACATTAGCAGTTCAAACAAGTATAATTCACTAAAGTATTTGCCTAGTTAGTTCAGACATAAGCCTCCTTGTATGCATATTGTATGCATCAACCCATATTGCTAGCATATTTTCAACTCCTTTACATAACTTGCTCTACATGGCACATTTCTTTATCAGTGTGAACAGACCACTCATTGTCAGTCCACTTGATGCTCTACTGTAGTACAGTCAGGTATTTATAGGTATTTATTGTTATTAGGGATTTATCCTATTGTAGACAATTATGATTGTTTGAGTCACTTACCATCAAAGTCTGACAGGTAGCCTTTGTTGGTATATCGAAGAATTATTTATTATAAAGAATTACAACAGTATAATTACCTACTTTCATGGTTACTGATCCAAAAACATTTTAAAGATACAGGTAATTTCTCTCACACTCAGCCAACCAAGCAACATTCACTTACCTTTAGAATTCTGAGACGTGTTACGACATTCAAGCATTTATAACCGAACTGATGCAGGTCCCATGCATCGAGTTCTGAGTACATGTTACACACCTATAATTAATAATTAAAGATGGAAATCAGCACTCAGTAGAACACTTAGCAAACAAACTAAAAATAAGTTTAATTTAATCATTTATGAATAACTGTCCTATTGTTATGCACATTTAACATGTACAGTACTTGCAACGTTATCTACATGGATAACAGTTTCAAAATCTATTCTATAAACTGGTAAAAGCATTACATGTAAAAATCCCTTCAGTATAAAGGAATATGTTATCAGGCTTGTGTGGTATTGAACTATTATAAAATATTATATAATAGTTATATATAGCAGTTGCAGTTGATTTTTATATAGTTATGTAGAGTCACTTTTATTCCTTTCATAATTTGAATATATTTTGTTCTGTTTGTCATCTTTTTTATTTAAACTTTGTATCAAACACCAACAGATACATTTAATGAATGCATTACTATCGGTCTAGCTTTCCACAGTACTACATAGGTAATAAATGATACATTACCGCACATTTATTTAAAAAAGCATCTTATGGATTTCAATTGAAAATTTATATATATATCATATAGCTATATTTTTAGAGTATGTAATTTTTCCTACATTAATTGACATGATTATATATGAATAGGATTATATAATTGATACTTTTTAAATTTGATATCAACAAATGTTATCCAACTGTTTATAACAATAGAATATAACTGCAAATTAATTGTGAAAAAGCAAGTCTTATTATTTTTCACAGGAGTTGAAACAACTTACTAAATTCTGCAAGGTTTTATTAACTTGCATTGCTTTTATAAATGACAACAAGACATGCAGTAACAACCGATGGGCATATAACATTAATGCACCTCGACTGATAAAAATAAAATTAGACAATAATATCCGGAAATGACTACATACCAATAACTTTCATTTACCAGTCAGTTTTCTAATCCCGATGAATTTCAGTAAGTACTCCGTTAAAACTTACCCTTATAAGAAACTTTTCCCATCGATCGTATGGCACACTCTTTTTTAATCTTCTCATAAGCCGCACATGCAAATCTATCAGATCTCTTGCCACTGCGAATAAAAACATACCGAGATGCACAGTTCCAAATATTCAGTTAGTTTTTACTAAATGTATTGAAATATTGCCAGAATTGTTCTCATAATTAATATTAGATTAACGAATGCACACAGATTCTCTATCCAGATGAGACGATTTCATTCTTAATTAATCTGACAAAGGAAATCTAACTGGCACGGTTTTATTAGATCCTCAAAAAGCACTTGATACCGTTGCCCATACCATTTTACAAACCAAGCTAAAAGCGATTGGAATGGATAGTAGGACTGTGAAATGGTTCGGTGCTTATCTCTTTGGTAGAAGTAAAGTAACAAATGTAGGAGGTACCTTTTCTAATTAAAACCCTATTACATGTGGAGTACCACAAGACTCAGTATTCAAACCAAGGGTGGTATGCAGTGGGACACTCATTTTACTTATATATATACATATTACATATTAGGACAAACACTATCTATAATAGTAAAAGTATAATGTTAAAAAATGTCCAATGGAAAAGGTTGAAACGTTGGACAGGAACTGTTGACAGTAGAGGGTTTTGAGTTTGAACAGTAATGTATCTGATTGTAAATAGTGAACAAGAAATGTATAAACTATCAAAAAAGTATAATATGTAAAAACTACAAATTTCTATATTTCAATAGTTTAGGGTGCTGATGGTAGTGTTATTATTATTAAAGCCGCACAATGCGCATCCAAACTCTAATTTCTCCAGTACTAGACTAGCAAATACTTCGTGTCATGCATAATCACACTACCTTATGACAAAATAAACTCTAGTTCCTCCCATTTCACTGCGGGTTGTCTTATAAAAAGTATTTGAAAATACCTCCAATGTTGTTAAAATTCTCCGATGTTGTTGACAGTTTCCCCAAGCAACCGTGCAGCGGTACAGCGGTACGGGTGTAGCAAAGATAAAAACATGTGACGTCACCTCACCACTTCGAGGCTAAATTGTTTGGCAAACAGTCGGCGTTTGCGCCAGAATGCCAGTTTTCTCACCTCTTTCTTGTGGGTTTTAAGCAAACGCGCAGTGAAATGGTAGCAACTAGAGTTTATTTTGTCATAAGGTAGTGTGATTATGCATCACACGAAGTATTTGCTAGTCTAGTACTGGAGAAATTAGCGTTTGGATGCGCATTGTGCGGCTTTAAGAGTAATTTAACAAGGACCACAATGTAAATACGTGTGCTAGTCTGACTATACTTTTGGTGTATAGATCCTTGGTAGTTATCCAATTTCATGAATTAAAAAATTTATTGTAACAGTATATATGGATAATTACCTAGATAAATAAATCAAAATTAAAAATCTATCTAAATGTGTAATTTTGGTCTCAGAGCATTTTTATACATTCATTATTGGTGGAACAATACGTGGGGAAGCATAATATGCCACTCAACATATCTGCCTCATTGAATAATGTTATGGTACTGTAGTGTAGGCACATTTACCTAAAATGAAACTCTTATACTAGTTTCAAACACTTACCCCAACACTTTCTCTATGTTTATGTTCCATAACATTACTAATTATTCTGTGAACGTGTGTGTAAAGTGACATATATACTACAGTCTGCCAAATTTTCTTGGGACATTAGCTGAAAAAATATAGTAATTCCGCGAGGCCGTGCTCCGGAACGAACTAGTCAGTATCGCAGAATTTTCAGGGAGTCACACGGACTCCTGCATATGTCAAATCAGGGAGTCCGACAGTAAGTCAGGGAGTATTTGACTCCGGACTCCCATTAATTTCGCACCCTGCACATTTAAGGATACATTCAGGGTTGTAGTTGAAATTTGGTCAAAATTTCAATACCCATGTATATTATTATATAGACGGCGCCTCTAGGCAGCTATGTATGTGTAGATTATTATGTATGTGTCTACCAGACAGTTCAGAATCCCTGCATATGCTTAGCTGGCTATTGCAAAGCCCGGAACGCCCTATTAGCGCTCGCTATCCCAAAATGCACTGCGTGCCACCCAAGAATGCGAATCAGAAACACTGTTGCAGCTGTTTTGAACATGCTGTTGCTGCGCGCGTTTGTTTATATAAAGATGATAACGTCACTGTGTACATTAATTAGTGGGCAGCGAATGGGAGATTAAAACGGATCACTTATTTTGTCAAGTTATTTATAACAACATGACTTTTTTTAACTGAACTAAAAGTTTTGGAATTGAAGTTGTGGAGTTCCGAGAAATCAGTAATGAAAGCTCAGCAACTGCAACATTACTAACAACAGAGATATTCGCAATTTTCTACATTTAAGTTTAACGATTAAAGTTTGTTGATGGTAATCGGCCACAGATAGGTTACAGTTAGTACTAACAGTCGCAGTTGTATATATACCTTGGTCAATTCCAAACACAGTCGTCGCAAATATCTCTATGGTTAGTAATGCTGCAGTCGCTGATTTTCAATACTGATTTCTCTGAACTTACAACTCCAATTCAAAAAATTTTAGTTCCGTTTTAATGCTAACATATTAATGGAGTAAAGGATGTCTGGATTGCTTAAATGAAAGATTATGTTTTAGAAATTTTGGCTCTTTATTTGCATTATTGTTGTGTCATAAAAAACATTACAGATTTTTGTGCATCTTTTCAACTTATTTCCTAAAATAAAACGTTTAAAAAAAATTCTAGGGACCCTTTACTAGTACATACTATGAACAACCTATATGGCTAAACATTTAAGTTCCAAGCCTATGGCTATGCTGTTTCTGAGAAATGTGAAGAGAAAAAAACATTTTCCCACATTTTGCTGTCACGTAATTAGCGATGAAGTGCTCAATCATAGTTTGGGACCCCTGTATATATATAGTTTGTACATATATGATAAAATAATCCGGGGTGCTAAACTAGGAATGGGCTGCGATGAAGTTTCTTTGATTATTTCCACTGTGAGCGTAGAGGGACATCTCTTTTATTAAATATATTTAGATGCGTTTGATTGGAATCGATGAGCACACAGGCGCTTGGAGCGTTTCAATAAAATATAATGCTAAATAAATACAAAATCTATTTACTACCAAAGTCATCAATATAAATATAATATTATATCAATATAATAGGTTTAGGGTTATGGTTAGGGTTAGGGTTAGGGTTAGGCACATTGGTTTTATTGGGACCCATGTTCTCTATCCTTGACATTCAGCAGCCGGATATCCTGCCGAAGCGCGCCACGCCGCTAGCGGCGCTCAACACTTTGCTGCCCCTCCTTCACCTTACACGGTTTACATATATAACGCAAGCACCAACTTCGGCTGAATGAGCAGTTCTGGCCATTCGACGATCGGTTTGACTAACCAGGGAGCTCGACATTTCTTAGAAATGCTTCCAATTCGAAGTGTCGTTAATTCC